GTGTGTTGCTCTCATAACTCCCTAGGAGACTTCAGATGTGAGGGAGGCAGCACCTAAAATTATGCCTGGCACTACATAGGAACTCAATAAACATTTGTAGAAAGAATGAGTAATGCAAGGGCATGGGAGCTGAACAGAGGAGGGTCCCAGTCCTAGCTCTGAAACTCACTATCCATGTGATAAAGTCAAGGGAGTTGAACCTCTATTCATCTACAAAGTGGTTTTATTATTTTTACAGCGGCTTCCACCCGGAAGTGTAATAAGGTGGCCTTGGATAAAGACCAAAGATCAGATAAGACCAAAGAAGAAAGGCAGAGACATTCTTTGGCTGGACACTCTGTTCCGGGGGTAGCCCAAACTCCCAACAAGCAGGAGTTAGGGATGAATAAGCTGAATGTGAGGCCGGGCTCCTCCCCGTTGTTCCCCTTTCTCCCTAAAGCGCCAACCCCGGCTGGGCCACTGGCTGGGTGGCACCATGCAGCACCGGATGTCTCTTCCGTTTCTCCTGCTTCTCACCTTTGGCCAAGAGCTTCAGTCGGGAGTAGGAACAGGTAGGTATGAAAGCGGGAGCTCCAAGAGTAGCCTGTGAATAGGGCAGGGGGGTTGGCGGTACCAAGAGAATCTGTTTTTTATCTCATAGGGTAGGGAGTCAATTCAATTCACTTCATCAAATATACATGTTGGGCATCTATAATATGCCAGGTACCGTCCTAGGTGGTAAGGCTAAAGTAATGAGTGAAACAAAGAACCTGCCTTTGTGGAATTCATGTTCCAGTGGGAGAGAGACAGACAATACATGATACATGGAATAGGTGATAAACGTGCTACAGGAAAGGGAAAAAGTAGAGCAGGGTAAAGGGGATTCAAAGTCTGGGGTGGGGCTGGTTGTGAGCAAGGTAAGATTGAGAAGGGGAGATATGAGCCTAAATTTGAAAGTAAAGGACTTAGCCAGGTCAGATCTATGTGTAGAAAAAGGGTCCTTTCTGGTCTACTTTCTTTGCTGAAGCTTAAAGTCTGCAAATGCAATTGAGGAGATGAAATGCAGTATATCCAGGATAATCTATAGAAACAAGGACAGTTAGCCCTGGCCTATTTGGCTCGGTGGTTAGAGCGTTGGTGTGCAGACCAAAGAGTCTTGGGTTTGATTCCAGCCAAGGACACATACCTCGGTTGCGGTTTGTCCCTGGCTCTGGTCAGGGTCGTGTGGGAGCAACCAGTCGATAGCTCTCTTACGTCGATGTCTCCCCCCCTCACCTTGCCTCCACTTTATCTAAAGATAAATGGAAAAAATGTCCTTGGGTGATGATTAAAATAATAATAATAATAATAATAATAATAATAATAATAAAAGAAATAAGGACAGTTAGCAATAGTTGCCAAAATTTTTGAGCAGCTAGTAAGATTCCTTTTAAAAAACTACGTCTTATAATACATGATTAGAAAAATAATACCTATAGCCCTGGCCAATTTTGCTTAGTGGTTAGAGCATCGGCCCACGGACCAGAGAGTCCCAAGTTCAGTTCCTGTTAAGGGCACGTACCTGGGTTGCAGTTTGTCCCCAGCCCAGTTGGGGTCGTGTGGGTGGCAACCACTTGATGTCTCTCTCACATTGGTGTTTCTCTCTCTCTTTTCCTCTCTGTCTCCCTCCTGCTCTATCTGAAATAACAATAATAATAATAATACCTATATATTTTTTAGAAAATTTTAAATACAAAAGTAGGAGGGAGGAAGTAGAAATTTATCAAAATCTTCCCTACCAGGCATTATCACTGTTAATATGTTGGTGAGCATTTTTACATATAGCTCTCTGCATGTATGTACATGCATGAAGCTATAGATTATAGATTCTTATATATAAATAGGATATTTTTTCCCTTTATTGATTTTTAGAGAGAGAGAAAGGGAGAGGGAGAGAGAGAGAGATGAAAACATCAATAAGAGAGAACGCCGATTGGCTGCCTCCTGCATGCCCCCCACCGGGGATCGGGCCCACAACCTGGGCATGTGTCCTGACTGGGAATCAAACCAGCAACCTCTTGGTGCATGGGTCGATGCTCAACCACTGAGCCACACTGACTGGACTATAAATAGGATATTAAACCTCCCAATAATCCTACAGGCCAGTGATTCTTAAAGTTTGTCTCCTGGTCCAGAAGTAGCAGCATCACCTGAAAACTTACTATTTCCTAGTCCTTCTGAATCAGAGACTCTGGGGGTGGTTCTCACAATCTGCATTTTCACAAGCCCTTGAGTGTGATTCTGATGCACACTCAAATGTAAGAACCTCTGCTATAAGGAAGAAGAATGTAGTGGTCAACAGGATGGACATACCTGGAGTCAGCTACCTTGGTTGAGGTCCTGGTTCCACCACTTACAAACTCCATATCTCGAGAACATTATTTAGCCTCTCTGAGTTTCAGTTTATTCTTCTATAAAATAAGGTGAATGGCCCTGGCCAGTTTGGCTCAGCGGTTAGAGCGTCGGCCTGCGGTCCGGAGAGACCCGGGTTCAGTTCCCGCTGAGGGCACGTACTTCGGTTGCAATTTGTCCCCGGCCCTGGTTGGTCGTGCGGGTGGCAGCCACTCGATGTGTCCCTTCACGTCGATGTTTCTCTCTCTCTCTCCCTTCCTCTCTCTCCCTCCCACTCTATCTGTACAAAAAAAAAAAAAAAAAAAAAAATAAGGTGAATGATCTTAGTTATGTTATTGACCAACTGCTCTGATGCATGTAAAGCTTTTGGTATAATTTAGCTGTTTACATTTCTTATCTTAGAACTAATCAATTATAAAAATGCCATGTAACAAAACTTGTAAAATGCAGCTAAAGTGGTTCTTAGAAGAAAATTTGTAGCCTTGAGTGCTTATATTAGGGGAAAAATGTTATAAGTCACTCTGGCCAGTTTGGGTCAGTGGTTAGAGCGTCAGCCCATGTACTGAAGAGTTACAGGTCCAATTCTGGTCAAGGATACATACCTTGGTTGCAGGTTCAATCCTCAGCCCTGGCCAGGATTGTGTGGAAGGCAACCAATTGATGTCTCTCTCTCACATTGATGTTTCTTTCTTTCTCTATTTTTCTCCCTCCCTTCCATTCTCTCTTAAAATATCAATGGAAAATATCCTCAAGTGAGGATTAAAAAGAAAAGTTGTAAGTCAATTAGCCAAGCATAGCACTCAAGACCTTAGAGAAGAACAACATTCCCCCCAAATAAAACAAAAATAATAAAGAACAGAAAATAAGATAAATTGGAGGAGGGGCAGTGAAAAAAATAGGTTCTTGTAAAGCATTAGCACAATTTCTTTTATACTCAAAATATACACACACATACATATGCTCACCTAGGCACACATACAAAGAAGGTATTATCATCCTAATTACATAAGAAAGAAAACAGGTCAAGTAATTTTTCTTTGGTTTAATGAAATGGAGGAGCAAAGAGGCAAGAAGGAGAAAATTAAAAAGCCATGTGGGACTCCAGCCCCTGCAAAGCCACTTGTAAGAGTCCAGGGAGTGAGGCTGCTATGACTGAGATGTCTCAGGAACTTTCCAACATGGCCCTGGCCGGTTTGGCTCAGTGGTTAGAGCGTTGGCCTGCAGTCCTGAGATACCCGGGTTCAGTTCCCACTAAGGGCATGTACCTCGGTTGCATTTTGTCCCGGACCCACCACTCGACGTGTCCCTTTCACGTCGATGTCTGTCTGTCTGTCTGTCTCTCTCTCCCCCCCCCCCCCACCTTCCCTCCCTCCCTCCCACTCTATCTGAACAAAAAATGGAAAAATAATGTCCTTGGGTGAGGATAAAAAAACAAACAAACTAAAGAAAACCCAACAGGCCCCACCCCACTTCCCATCTTGACTGGACAAACTAGTCTGCCCCTTTACCATTGTCCTTAACCCTCAGAGTTAGCTATATGGGGCAGAAGATAAGACAGAGCCTGAACCTTTTCCTCTGCCTAGCCTGATGTCTGCAAGTTCACTATAGGAGTGGCCATCCATTCATCCATCCATTCATTCTACAACAACAAATTCGGATTGAGAACCTACAAGCCTGAGCGGCCTGACCATCCTAGGCTTGACTCTTGGCACGACCACTTTCTAGCATGACATTAGGAAAGGAATTTCACCTCTCTGGCCTTAGTTTTTTTATGTAAAGTTGTTAGTCCTAATATCTACCTTGAGTACTAAGTGTAAGGATAAAACCTTTCACATAAAACGAGACTACAAAGAAATGTGTAACCCCGCCTCAGAGGATCTCATGGGTTTCTTTTCTATGAACAAATATTTAATGAGAACTAAGAGCTAGGCATGTAGACTATGGAAATGAGTAGGGTGAGATCCCTTTCTTGGTCAAGGAAGGGAAAGAGTGATTGAGAGCAGCTACTGTTTATTGATATTTTTCTATTTATCAATGCTTTCCATAGATTATTTCTAAGCCTTCAATAAGCCTAAAGTGTGACTATTATATACCCATTTTACATGAAGAAAATTGAGTGCCAAAGATACAGGTGATTTGTTGAAGATCACACAGCTAGACATTTGAATCAGCTTTGAACCTCTCTCTCAGATCCCGTCATTTCTCTTTCCATGCAGGTTATCTACTCTAGAATGATTAAGAGGGAGGGAGAAGCCTGAAAGGGCTTATTCATCCAATCCTAGAAAATCAGATCAGAGATGGTAGAGTTCCACTCCCTAATTGTACAGATGAAGAAATGGAGATTTAGAGAAGTTGATACAATATCACACAGTTGTGTGTGGATTTTAATTCACTAGAGCCGGATTCTCAAGTCTGGGATTTTTAGCACAGCAGGCTAAAACTCCTCACACTCTGTATAGATGGGTAAGGCTATGGCTGGGTGGGCCAGGTGGGCTGATGGGAAGAGGTACAGAGCTCAGCTACTGTGGACAGCCTCACAGCTGTGCCCACAGCCATCCCAGTCCCTGGCATATGGGGTTTACAACGAAAGGTGATAAGTTAGGCATCTCTCAAACATGTTCTCTCTTTAGGCCAACAGAATCAGCATCAGAATGTCTCCCCAGAAGTTTGCAAACTTCCTATAGAAAGGGGCCCTTGTCGAGCCAAACTCCAGCGATGGTTTTACAACGTGAAAACTCATCAATGTGAGATATTTTATTATGGAGGCTGTCAGGGCAATGGGAACAACTTTCTGAAGAAAAACATATGTAAGAAAGTCTGCCGGAATGTCTGATTTCCTAATAAGAACCCGGCCTCCCTGGAGTCAGGATTGCTGTGGCAATAAAAGATATTTTTGTGAACAAGAGATGCATTTCTCCACCCCAAATTTATTCTCCCTGTTGTGTTCTTAAAATCACTCATCTCTGCATCTGAAATTCTATAAATATTGCCAAAATCTCAATACTTTCTTTTTTACATACATACATATGTACATACACACTGGGGAGATCAAGAGTTAACAGTCATTCACACTTAATTTGAATTACTACTTAGCCCATTAGAGGGTAAAGGTTTTGGAGGAGAGGGGGGTGACTCTGAAACCCAAGCATGGTATTAGAAGGGTCTACATTGGGCAAGTAAAGGATTTCTGGATCTTGTTGTGCTGACATGTTTATAACCCGATAATTGATGATTGGTAAATTATTGTGCTAACTTGTTTACAGCTCCATAATTGATGATTGGGAAAGTCACTGTTTGCCCTCTAGCTGAACCTGTTTTGTAAAGAATTTAATCCACAAGATAGAGATTAACCCTGAACCAAGAAATTGACAGAGTCCCTGGAGCCTGGAGGTCTTGAGTCAGAGACTCAACCTCCCCCACAAGCTCAAGGAATTAGGCTTGCATTGTGTTTGTGCTGCTCGGGGCTAAGTGTGACTCAGTGTACCTTGAAATACCTGAGATAATAGACTGGGTGTTCCTGGGTATTCCTGTTATCCACTAGGCAAATTAATTCTATACAGCATTGTTGTAGCCCTGGGCATTATATCAAGAAGATCCTATTTTCTTATCTCATTAAACTTTTGCTGTAAGGTATAAAAGGCATGTAATAAAGCATATCGAGGCTGATCTCCAAAGACTCTGTCACAGGGGTGTTTGGAATCAGATGCCAGCCAGCTAATAAACATCTCTTATTTAGACTTCCATTGACTCTATCACGCCACAACACTGCGAAACAAGACAAGGGAACAACAGAAACCAGAGTTGAAAGGGAAATGGGGGAGGAACTGGAGATATTAAAGCCATTTTTAATTTAAAAATTAGTGAAACTTGATGAAAGTCTTTATCTTCTAAGGCTACACCACGTCTTCCTGCCATGGGCTACATGGGGAGAGCAGTGAAGGGCCCTGGTCTTGCAGTCCCTTGATTTATTTGCCTTAAGTGGCACCAATTATTACAACTTGGAGGGGAAGGAGAAAACATGGGGGTAATCTGTTCAGTTATCAAATCAAGAGGGGAAAATAGAAGACCAAAGATGGGTAAGGACTTCTCTAAAATCAGAGTAGGAATAAAACAGTCATTAGTAATCCAAGAAAAAGTCCTTTTCCTCTGCATTGCAATGCCCACCCTGTAACTTTCCCAAATGTGGGATTTATTTTTCAGAGTTAAGGTTTTAAACTATGCGTGGAAGTAGTGAGTCTCATCACCTCTGAATTATAGAAGAGAGAAAGGAAAAAAGAAAGATAGGAAGGAAGGGAGGGAGAATGGGAGGAGTAAGGGGAGGGGTCCCAAGCTCTGCTCAGAATGGGTGGGTTAATGTAAGGCCTGAGGGTAACCCCCTCTTTTGAGTAGGATATTATACCACAGGGATGTACTAAACCCTAGCACAGGACATTTAACCAAAACTCAGAGAGCTCAAAATTTACAAACTTACCTTCTACCCCACAATGCCCCCAGGCTCAGAAGTGTAAAGGAACACAGTACCCACCCCTCACACTGTAGCTAGAGAGACAGGAAGCCAAAAAAAGAGCTCAAAAAGGATAGAATCAGAAAACCATTGTCTAGTAATCATTAAATAATCATTACTTCAGGCAAGAATCATCAGTGAATGCTAAACCTAGTGAGTAAAATTTTGAGAATAGGACACTTACAGAATCTCAAAGTGTTTCCCCACAGACACTTATTCATCAGTGGAGAATCTTGGTAGAATCCACCTTACTCAAGTAATGAAAATGAACATCACCAGTAACCAAACAAATTAACATCATGTGACTAAAAACACAATATCGATTTTGTAAAGCATAAATCCAATCATGAGAAAATATCAGATAAGCTCAATGAAGAGACATTCCATAAAATAACTGACCTATAGTCTTCCAAAATGTCATGAAAGACCAAAAAAAGGGGGGGGCGGGTCAAGGAATTTTTCCATATTAGAGATTAAAGAGACATGACTATTGAATGCAACGCAGGATTTTCTTTTGCTGTAAAGGAAGTCATGCAAACAATTAGTGAAATGGACTTCCAGGTGGTGTGGGTAAATACGGTCCTCGCCTTCTCCCACAACCACATCAAACTTACAACTAAACTACAGAACAAACATCCTTCAGAACCACCTGGAATCGAGCTGAATGGAAGTCCTACAACTATGAAATTAAAGAAGCCACACCAAGACTGATAGGAGGGGTGGAGGCTCAAACAGGCTGGTCCCATACCCACGTGTGGCGAATAAAAATCAGGAGGCTACCTCGGCTGTGAAGGTCCTCCCTGAGGAGTGGGGGGTCCACATTCCACACCAGGTGCGCAGCTCAGGGTTCCAGTGCCAGGAAGAGAAGACCCCATCACTTTTGGCTGTAAAAACCAGTGGGAACTGAGGCTGAGGGAGGCTGAGGCTTCTAGAGTCCCAGGCAGTTCCTCTTAAAGGGCCCACACCTGGACTTACTCAGACCCGCTCCCTCTGTGCTCCAGCATGAATGGGAGGCAGCTTGAAAGGCACCAGAGACATGGGGAAGAATTGTTGTTTGGCATCGGGGCGAGGGCTGGAGAGGCAGCTATCTCCCAGACAGACGTGATGGTGGAGGCTTTTGATCCTTTGGTGAGCCCTTCCCCCATGGGGCCAGCAGATGGGCACTGTATCTGAGATTCCAGCAACCTGGCTCACATTATTTACCCTGGCCTGGTGATTCCTTGAGGCCATGCCCCATCCAAATTTTGGGCCCACCCAAGGTCTTTCCAGTGGCTTTACCATAGGATTGGCCTGTTTCAGATTTTCCTAAATTCTCTCAAACAAGCAGCATCTGGCCACAGCAAGCCCCATACCTCTCACTAAGTAGCCTCAGGCCCGGCACGAGAAGCAGCCAGCCTTGGTTCACAGCTTGGCTTTGCCTGGGCACCTCCAAGCCCAGCACAAGAAGCAGCCATCTGCAGACCGCTTTGTAGCTTATGCCTGGGGGTCCCAGGTAGAACAAAGGCAGTGGCTGACCCTACCCCAGAGCCAGCACACCCAGTGCAAGCTTCAGACCATGGCGAAACACCACCACCCAACCACCTCCACAAGGGACACACTCAAGGAATGGACTCAGTGGGTACCAGAGCCCTGATGAAGTAAGTCTTGCTCTGTGTGGTGGGACCCTGCACAGCTGACCATCCAAGGTAGTTAGAGGTCAGTGGTCAGTGGACACAGCCAGTTCTTGCAGCTGATCAGCCTGAGTAAAACCCTCCCACTAACGTGGCAACAGCAATCAAGACTCAATTACAACAGAAGGGTATTAAGTCCACACAAGGGGTTGATTGGCCACCTCCTGCATGCCCCCCACTGGGGATCAGGCCTGCAATCTGGGCATGTGCCCTGACCGGGAATCAAACCGGCAACCTCTTGGTGCATGGGTCGATGCTCAACCACTGAGCCACACTGGCCGGGCAAAAGAGAGAATCTTAAAAGTAGTTAGTTACCTAAAGGGAGTTCCCATAAGGCTGTCAGCCAATTTCTCAAAAGAAACTTTGCAGGCCAAAAGGGAGTTGTCTGATAGCCTGCGAACTGGAGCCAGGCAAACTGTTCAGCCATTACCTCGCTTACCCAACCTAGACTCCCACCCTGTTTCAGGAACTGTTTGCCCCGAACTCATAGATCAACTCCTGTCCCATTCTCCTGTCCTAGTCCAGGAACCGTTTGCTCTGGGACAATAGACTCACATTCCAAGGGCCCCCATGCGTAGCCCCTCAGGACCTAACCCTAACAACAAGTTCCCGCTGCCGCAGGCGCAAAAATCACAAAGCCCAGCATCGGGCGCAGCTTCTCGGACTCGACCCCCGGAGTCTGTGAACCCGCCCGGAGTGCACCCAATAAAGCCTGATTTCTGCTTATTCGGCTGTTTGGCTCTCTGGTTTCTTCCCACCTCCCACCGGCGGCGCCTGGCTACCTTACATCTGGTGCCGAAACCCCGGGGAGGGGTTTTGCGACCCACCTCAGTCCCTGCAGGCTGAGGGGAGAGTCCCCCCTCCCTCTCTCCCTGCCTCGTCGCCCTCCACCGCTTTGAATTCGGAGCTCCCTGCAGATACGGCTTGCAACCGTAAGTAATTCGATCCCTTTCCCTTCCTGCCAGACCCCTGTGTCCCGGCCCGGCCCGGGGGTCTCTCGTCCTAGACTCGGCCGAGCCGAGAGCCCTCCCCTCACGACTCCTGGAGTCCATATAGGGGGACTGATTGAAAGGGACGCCTTTCACTCCCCCCTCTATCTCTGTCCGGAGATGGGTATCTGGAAGGGACGCCTCCCTCATACCCTTCCTCCTCCGACACTTAGGGGTCCGGAAGGCCACTAAATTATGGGAAACTCCGAATCCAAAATAGACCCTAAGACTCCTTTGGGATGTCTTCTTATAAATTTCTCCAAATTGGGATACTCTCAGACCCTCCACAAGAAGAAACTCATCTTCTTGACCCAGGTCGCTTGGCCTCAATACACCCTAGACAACCAGTCTCACTGGCCACCTACGGGTACTTTTGACTTCAACGTCCTCCGGGACCTGGCCAATTTTTGCCGGCGGACCAGAAAGGACTCTGAGATCCCGTACATTCAGGCTTTTTGGGACCTCCGCTCCCGCCCTGACCTTTGCTCGCACTGCTCCGCTCTCCAGATTCTCTTAGCCCAGACTTCCCCTCCTCCAAAGGCTGAAGAGGGCCCTGAGACTCCCATCCAAGACCTGGTAAAAATGGCTTTTAAAGTTTTTAATGCCCGGGAGGAGAGGGCTGAAGCAGCCCGGCAGGCGTGGCTGCAGCAGAAGGCCAGCCTCCAGACCC